AAATACAAGTAAATATTAGTTGTTTATTTCACATTTGGCATGCGGTAGAGATTATGGCTCCCAAAAAAAGCATTTGGCTCCTAAATATTTTGGGTTTAGGAGCCAATGGCTCCCAAATTTTTTTGTTCTGTCTGGAGCCCTGCACAGGGTTGCCAGTTCTCATGCATCTGGCGTGATGCTCACGCTTGCAGACTCTCATGCTCAGGCAAGAAATCTTGTAGCAAATCTATATTATTCCATTATAATTCTAAAATAAGCTACATCAAAAGTTTTGGGGTGGTTTTCAAACCCTACAGACTATTTACAAGGTAATAAAATGGTTACATACATGTAAATGTGTGTGCAGATTTGTCTCAAATTGAAAATCTCACGCCAGCCAGCTGACCAAAGTTGGCAACCCTGCTTCAGCTAACAGTAAGGCTAAGCCAAATATCAGAAACACCACCATTTAATTCAGTACTCTTTAACAGCACCTCAGACTACATCCCCTAAAATGAACATATGGTTGAATCGTCACCACTCTTAAACTGTTTCAACATAAGCTAAACATTATAACAATCATTATGGGGATTTATTGCAGAACTGCACTTTTTTCCCACTGCGTGTACCTAGTAAACTCACAGCTGAGTAAGTACACATATACATGTACTTACGGAACGTACACACTTCTGCTCACATGAGGACGTCAGTTGAATAGTCCATCCAGGACACATTCGCGTTATATTATATAATAATGTAATATGTGTTCCAGACCACCTCCGGATGTGGTCTGACGCATGTTAATACCTGGTATGAACAGGACCTCGGAGTTCCTGGGTCTTGGTTTGGTTTATAAGTTTCTCAGCCTGTATAATGACATTGCTGAGTTTACGAGTTTACAGAAGTCCTTCTGTGTCTTCAGCTTGTCTCGGTCTGGACCTATGGCCGCCTACGTCAACCCCTACGGCTATGTCCACGAGATCCTGACCGTCTCAAAAGCCAGCAACCTTAATCTGATTGGTCAGCCATCCACCTTTCACTGCTGGTTCCCTGGGTAATTTCTGCTGCGATGCTTGGTCCTTGTGCAATGTGGAACTGTCTGTTACACACCTACCTCTGTGAACCGTCTTCCACACATTCCTAACACACTCACTGTTCATCACATCTCCCGGATCCTTGATCTCTCACTGTAATCTCAGAGGGTTTAACTCTAAGATACTGGTGCAATTTCTCAGGTACTCACAATTAATGACAATTAAATAGTATCCCAGTCCAGATTGTCTGGGTTGTACCCTGCATTGCATCCTATGCTCTCTGACTGTCACAATATCACTGACTGAGGAAAAAAATACCCGACTTTTGACTATTGGTACCTTTTGACATCTCTGTTAATTCCATCAGGTACCCATGTCTTTCAGAAGGAAGCCTTTGTGACAAAGGAAACCCTGCATTAATGTGTCCATGACTTAGATGAGTATATCAGCAGTTTGTGTTTATTTATCAGTCTTTGTCAGTGGGGCTCTTTACCTTCTCTGCAGCTACGCCTGGACTATCGCGGGATGTCAGACTTGTGGCTCCCACATAGGCTGGAAGTTCACGGCCACCGAGAGGGACCTGACCCCCGAACACTTCTGGGGCCTGAGCCGTTCTGCTCTGCTGCCCCGGATACCTGCAGAAGAAAGCAAGGAGGGTCAACGCGAGACCTCGTCCCAAGCAATGTGCCTGTGATCACTAAGCACATGAAAGATCCTCAGTGGTCATCCTAAACAAACACGGTGCAGAATCACTACATGTTGTACCTGTATAACTATGCATGTGACAAAGAATCTTGAAAGAGCTGCCAAATGTGGGACCTTGCAACACATAGGTGTTGCCATAGGTGTCCTACAACATGCCTGTACAAGTGACTCAGGATTGAGATGCTGAGAGTGAATCCACTTTCTTCACAACTATCTCAGCCTGCTGACTCGCGGTGTAGTGCAGGGTGCATTTTGTATTCGGCAGAAGGCGCTTTACCGTGAAATCACAGTACCTCCTAACTTCTGCTTGTTTTCTGGTCATTTTTCTGCACTTGATGCTAGGACTAGAGTTTGGGGTAGAAAAGCACCTATGAGTCTCCTTTATGCCCATTTTAAAGGGGAATTAAATTAAATGAGATCTAAAGTTTGCTTTCACCCCAAAGATTTCCAATTTATATTAGAAGTCCATGAAGGGTAAAATAATGTCTTTCTTTAATGAACTTTTAGATTAATCTTCACTAACAAGTTGATGCCTTGACTGACTTGGTTGTAAATACACTGCACATTTTACAAGTCTTCACAATATTAAAGAACAAAATATTTTTACATATTAAAAGTGTAATTTTAAGTGTTATAAGCTTAAGCATTAAAGACTTTATTCATTTTAATGTATGATTCACTGAATCTCAGCATACTCTACAATATCATTATTGTAACAGTGGGCTATTTTGGGAAGCTAATTCGAAAATGTATGAGCAGCCTAAATTACCTTTTCGTCACATCCACATACGTATTTCAGACCAGTGATAATTCGGTTACAGTATCATGCTGCAATAATTAAAGCATTAAACATACTTTTAATTCAAAATGTACACTTTTGTGCAGCATTTTTGTTCCAAATTTGCCATTTTAAAATCTGTAACTCGTGTCTGTGTCTCTTATTTTAATGTGTTACGGTAATGATATTTTTGCAGCATTGTTTCAGAAAATGCATTACACTATAATTAACTTGTTCACTTCTGCCACTTTCAGGCCAGTGTTTCGTGCCACGGCTGTCGTGTGACATTATTGATTCAGCCCAAGGGAAGAAGGGATTTTTAAATTGTACAGATTAGGTTAAGTGACATTGTGTAAAAAGTGGGTGTTTTTGAACATGGAAAATAGATCTTTGGCATAAAATTGCTATTTCCGCAGGGTGAAGGAAAAAAATCACTGATCACAGAAGTGCCTGGATGTTTGTTGTAGGCTGATGTGAAAGGAGTGGAGTCTGTTACTCACAGAACAGAACCAAATAAAATAAGTATATTCAGAACTGCAGGCTGCAGGGGTGGCTGAAATGAATCCATACCAGTTGTGGTCACCTGATTTCTCTGCTGATTTTGGTTTAATGATGTTAACGAGTTCAAAGATGTAGGTCATGAGATTAAGATACAACAAGCTCATTTTCAGCTGGCTAGCGGCATGTGGGGGAGGGGAGGGGGGTCATACTGATGTTTTGGGCCACAGGAGCATTGGTGGTGACCAGCCTGGACCTCACCATTTGCTTGAAATGACCAAAGACCTGGACAGATTGGTGATGACTTCTTGGTGGGACCTGTGTTGGGATCATGGGAAAAATGTATGCTGTTGTCCTGTTTTTGAGTTTGCACTAGTCAGGCCTTGTTGATTCTGTTATACTGTGTTGTGAAAAGAAATCAAAAAACAAAGATTTGCTTCAATTTTATTATTCAATAAAGTTCTAGTACATCATTGTCTATCATTAAAGTCTTTATTTCGATGTAGCTGCACTACATAAGCAAGTTAATAAGTCATAAAACCAGTAGAAATGGAGAGAGAATATGATTTTAAAGTTATTATCCACTTTGAAAGCCATCCATGGTTCCAGGCCCAGGGTCATGATAACTTTATACAGGACATTTAGTGCTAATGGAATATACTGCTGTAGGACTTGCGTATCTATGACCTTGATCAAAACTATTCCAGCTGTCCATATCCACTGAAGACTACGATCCAGCTCAGAAAACCAGTGTTTGCGAGGTATTTAAACGAAAGATCAGGGGTTATGCAGGTGTGAGTGGTTGGCGCCTCGTCCTGGGTTGTTCCCTGCTTTGTGCCCATACCCTCTGGGATAGGCTCCGGACCCCTTGCAACCCTGAATAGAACAAGAGGGTATAGAAGATGGATGGATGGATGGATGGAGGCAGGCCAGGGATTCTTGGAAGCATAGCAACCATATGAAATTGGTGCCATAAGCTGCGTTTCTGAGTGGAACGTCAAGGTGCAAACAGGCTGCTCTGCTAGTTCCTGGGTCCCAATTCACCGACACATGGACAGACCAGCCCCAGTCACCCCCCATCAATCATCTCTGCTGGGACGTTTTCTTGTGGTTATCTCATGAAGAGAAGGCTTGGCGTAAATCTCCCAGGCAGGTGTGCTTCCATGTGCCTAAGTGCAGCCGGGGGCCATCATTTTATTTAGTCCAGTTCCAAATCGTTTAGTATTACCAATTAAGATGGGCCACACAGATCCGAGAGACTGCTCTCATATTTAGTGCTCTTTATAAGCTCAGATCCACAAATGTGTGCGGTATCATGTGATTAAAAGCACAACATGGAGCTGGAGTGGAAAGGTGACCAGTGTGCAGGACAAAAGCATCTATAATATACCCTGATCTAAAATGTCTGAAATCTGGCCAGAAACTATTTTTGGAGACCTTTGTTTCTTATTGTGTGTTGTGTAGGACCAGGACTATGCTTAAGTGCACATAACAGTCTTCTTTTTTGAGATGACTCTCCCTTGTTTCTGTTCTTCTAAAAAGCCAGGTTAGATCTGCTGTGCTCCGCATTGCTCGGTGGTTCACGTGATGGTTCAAAGCATTTCTACACGGTGCTAAAACACGAGGTGTGACCTCACATGTGCCGCGGCTGTCGGTAAGGAGGGCATGCATTTGTTTCCTGCATTAACACAACTTGTTAGCCGAGTCCGTCATTCAGTCATTAATGTTATTTCTGCTCCCCGTCCATTCTGTCTCGAGTGCTGATGCTTTTTTTCTGCCTGAGAACCGTCACCAAGGGTCTAAAAGGTTTTTCTGCAATTTCTATCAATTAGGCAGGACGGCTCATTTCAGCTGTATTTTCAGATTTTATGTCTTAAAAGAGAAAAGTGAAGTATAGAAAAGCTCAGTCATCATTAGAGCTTGTTACTTCCCACATGCCAAAAGTTTATGCACCTGTGACCTCCCTACACATTGCAATGCCCTGTATTGTCTTGAGCTAACTTTGAAAGTATGGGTAATATGAGATTTACAGCTATCCAGTTTTTCCATGTGCTCTGGGAACAGATGGTTCTGCATGCATAAAAGTCTGAAACTGCTATCCCTTCCCCCAAAGAGCCCCAACGGCATTGATCTCTCAGTTACCCAGACTTCTATGTGTGCAGTAACAAAGCTGTCCATGTTCCACAATCAACAGTGTGGTTCTCAGGTCACAATGCAAAATACAGGAAAGGTACCGAATGTACCACACAGAGAAGCTCTACTCATAGACAAAGGACAGCTGGACTCTTATTTTGTCTTATGTGTCTCATAAAGCAGAGTTCCATCTGGGTACTTTGTAAATATGAAATTGATGTTGCGTGTATGAAGGCTTATGGCTCAGAGAAGTTAGCATAGCAAAGGCCATTCTTATGAGGAATATGATTGGTTTCTGCGCTCATGGGAGTTTTACTTACAGAAAATTGTCCTGAGGACAGAACGAAAAATGATTTGTTGAGAGAGATAACCAATCAGATTGTACAGGTGGCAGGTCGAAGCAACTAGAAGAGACAGGACCAAGATATCTGATTGGTTATTTCTCTGAACCAATCATGTTTTGTTCTGATAGTCCATGACCTGGTGGTCTATTTAATGTATTCTGTACTTTGCACCTATCTGAGATTCCTGTCACCCTCAATGGATTAGTGGTCATTGAAAACTGGTGATTAGGTGTCATTTACTATGCTTTTAGTGAACGGTGAGATCATATTCAAGGACTAGTTGTTCATATATGGTTGATAAACAGTTTACCCAGTATGCTCATGAATAATACTATATGGCAGTGTTTCCCCATCCGGTCCTCGGGGACCCACAGCCGGTCCACATGTTTGCTCCTTCCACACTCCCTGCCAGACAGTCCACATGTTTGCTCCTTCCACACTCCCTGCCAGACAGTCCACAT